CCGCTGGTGGGGCTGGGTGGGCAGGCGGGCGGCGGCCCCCTCCGTGGGGCCTGGGCTTCTCCGGTTCGATTTTGGAAAGCGAATTTAACCGTCAGGTCTCTTGTTTCCCCCTTTCTTCGGTCAGTGTTTGTCAGCCCAAGCCGGAAGGAGGCGGTGTTAGCGTGGAGGGTGGCTCCTGAGAGTTTGGAAAGGAAGGAGGGAATTCTGGCAGCCTCGTAGGTTCTACTTCCCAGTCTGGCCACTTTGGGGATTGGGGAGTTGGCTTCCCCATGCGACAGAAATCAGAAAAGACAGCCGCGGCAGGCCGGGCTCGGTGGCTCAGCCTGTAATCCCAGCACTTTGGGAGGCCGAGGTGAGTGGATTGCCTGAGCCTGCGGGTTCGAGACCCGCCTGGGCAAATTGGGGAGACCTCATCTCTGCAATAAATCAAAAAAAATTAGCCGGGCGTGGTAGCGCGCGCCTGTAGTTCGGGCTACTCGGAAGGCTGAGGCGGAGGGATCGCCGGAGCCCAGCAGGTCGAGGCTGCGGTGGCTGAGAGCACCCACTGCACTCCCGTCTGAGTGACAGTGAGACTCCAACTCAAAAAAAAAAGCCACTGCAGCATTCAGCCGCGTTAGGGAACAGGCGGACAGGGTGAGGATGTAGAGGCACAGGGAGGCGCAGTAGAGAGGGACGCAGCACCGCCGGGGCTGACAAGGTGGAGGTGTCGCGCAGGGAACGCAGAGATCCGAGTAAATTGCAAAGAATTGTGACACACAGAGGTGAGAGAAGAAAAGATTTAGTTAAGAAAAGTTCGCTCCCTACAGACAGGGAGTGGGCCTACACTCTAGGTGAGTGTGGCCTCCTAGCCCCCCAGAGTCCTGGCTTAAATCCTTTTCCTTGGAGATGTTGTCCGTGACTGCTGTGACTTCCTTGACCACCTGTGGATGTCTTGGAGATTCTGTGACACAGAGACCCATTAATGTTCGCCCACATCGTCATAGCCTCTAAAGAAGGGCGCAACAAGGATTCTAATTCTCCTGCACCTTCCCAAACGACATTCCTTAGACCTCATGGAGGGTGCACCTCCCCTTGTCTCCTAGGCATTCCCAGTGGGTAGCTTCGGGGGCTCCTTGGCTTCCCTGTAGATAATGCTCAATTTACCAGAAGATCGAATCCCCACCTGCTCTCCCTCTGAGCGGTTATAACTTTTGTAATGACAAGTTTCATGACTTTTACAGTCCTTGCCCAATGCATGATCTCTTAGGCCTTGTAAATTCCCTTTACTCTAGGCAAACTTGATTGCCACTGTGAGATACCTCCGATACCTGGAAGTCTGTTTCTGAAAAGACAAAGTCGGTAAAGTTAATTATACCTAAAGGGTGCATTTCTCCAAAAGCATAGCTTCTACTTTCTCATCATTGTGTCAGGGTTTAAGAACAAGAGGAAAAATGGCTTCCCACTCTCGGTCGGTCCTTTCAAGCAGCAGGTAGCCAGAGACAATACTTCAACTAAACATCATCAACTTCTAAGACCTATGGTATCCTTCTAGAATTTTCTGAATCAGAAACTACTATCATGTAGTCAGGTGTACGAGGGGGACCCCAAAAAACATGAATTGTCTTAGAGGGCGAGTCCCTTGTAGTGCAGGCTTCCCCGCTAGGCAGGTGTTCTAGGAACCCACCAGCATCAGTGTACCAGGTAGTGTTGTTGTGAGAGGCTGTGTTTGACTTCGGTGAATTCTTTTTGAGGGGAGATTCTTTCATTTTGTGTGCCCATTTCCTGATGGGTGGTTTGCACGAACAACTTGCCCCTGTCAGCTGAGTGTTCAGTATTTTTTTTTTTTGTCTTGACCATCGTGCCCCACCCTCTCTATTCACCCAATCTCACCCTGAGCAACTCGTATTTTGTTTCCTGGGATGAAAAATATCCTGAAAGGGAAACGTTTTGCTGATGTGGAAGAGGTGAGGCCCAAAAATGGCAGCAGCACCAAAAGGCATCAAAATCAATGAGTTTGAGAACTGTTTTGAGCAGTGGAAAAAGCATCTCAATAGGTGTATTGCATCCGACAGGGAGTACTTTGAAGGTGACCTAAAGTTTAAGCATGTAAGAATAAATACACAATTTTTAATAAATAAATTCCAGGTTCTTGGGGGTCCCCTTTGTTTATTCAAGACTCTTAGTCCAGGTAGGTAGGTTTAGCTTCCTAAACTATCGTGAGGGTTTAGCCTCAGAGAGGAGAGATCTTGAACTGAAATTGAAATAAAACATGGAGTTTAAAATCCCTAGCTGTTGTGTGATTTGAAGAAATTGGGGGGGAAATGTATATACATATATTTTTAAAAGGAAAAAAACCTGCCATGGTGAGATGTAGTGAGAATTAAGAGTCCTAGGTCTTGGTTCTGCTGCTGTCGGGCTGTGTGAGCCTGGGTGATTCATTTACCGCCCTAAGCCTTGGATCAGAAGAGGGGGTCTAAACCGTGATTAACAGTTTATGATAGTCATACATTCAGTTACTATTTATTGAGCTCAATCCTTACTCTACATCATTGTCATGTAGTGAGCAGGACAGATAAAACCCCTGTCCTCAAAGGATTTACATCCCAATATGGGAGACAAAGAACAAATGAATAAATATATATACAGTGTGTCCATTGGTGATAGATGCTAGAGGGCAAAATAAAGGAAGGTAAGTGGAACAAAGAGCGCCTGGATGGTCAGGGAAGGCTTCTGGGAGGAAGTGACATTTGAGCAAAGACCCACAAGAATTGAGGGACTAAGTCTTGTGAATGAACAGCTGGGGAAAGGACATGGCAGAGGAAAGGGGAGGTGCAAGGGCCCCAAGGCTTGGCTTCTTCAAGAACCAGCAAGAAAGCCACTGGTTGGAGGGAAGGGAAGAATGACAGGAGATGAGGTCGGAGAAACAATGCTAGTGAAAAGAAGCGGTCAAACGCTGGCAAGATTTTGAAGGCAGAGTTAAGATATGTTTGTGGACTGGATGTGGGGTATGAGAGGGACAGAGGAGTCAAGGATGGCTCGAGATCTCAGGCCTGGGTAACTGGAGGAAGGGAGTTCTTCATACTGGAATGGGGAAGCGGTCGATAGAGCAGATGTGGGGAGAAATATCTCAGAAGCCCCCTGTGGAGTAGGGTGAGTTGGACATGCCCATCCGTCATCAAGTGGATTTGTCAAGGGGGTGGTGGTTGGATATCCTGGTTCGAAGGAGAAGTTCAAGGGAGAGGCCGTTTCCATGTAAATGGGGGAATCATTGGTGTGTAGCTGTGTTCAAAGACCTAAGATGTTGAGATCACCAAAGAGTGAGTGTAGATAAAGAAGGAGCAAGTGTAGATAAATTGGCCAAGAACTGAGCCCTGGGCCCTCCAATGACTAAAGATCAGGGAGATGTGTCAGATGGTGCTGACTAGCTGGGTAATAAAAAGTCTGAGACTTGATTATATGGTTCGTTAGCTGTAGCAACATTACGTTTTTTGTTGGCTTTTGTGAAATGCTGGTACCCGTGCCAGATCTTTAAATGACACTCCATAACATTTGGAGAAATGTTCCTCTCAGCCTCAGAAAACAATAGTTTCCAAACAGAAAGACCCCACACTGTTAAAAAGTAACCTCAAGCACTGAGTTGACTTGTTTACTGTGTTCACTATCTCCCCCTCCCCCGTCTGAAGGTGAAGGATCATTTTCTCTTGGGTTTACGGGCACATGTGCCTTGAACAGTGCCTGGCACGTAGTAGGTGCTCAATCAATACTTGTTGACTTAATGAATGAATGAATGGAAGATGGCAGCTATTTGAGTGGGTGGCAGTGCTTGCTGCTTTGTATTTTAACAGTCTTGGTGAACCACCCTCGGCATCTCCTCCTCTCTGCTGATGGAACAAGTTCAGGCCCTTTGACTATCTCATTTATTCTACCCCCTTCCCTCCCC